AAAAAAAAAAAAAAGGAAGAAAATCCAGGTTATATCATTGGGCTCTCTAGTTGCAAGGTTCTGCAGGAGACTAGCAGCTTCATGACTCCATAGGGATTAGACACAACTAGGTTTGAAACCCCATGGTGGGGGAGGGAAGGGAAGTTTAGGTGTTTGGCCAGAATGTGACAGGGAACCCACACATTTTAAAACTTATCAATAATTTCAATGAAAAAGGAAGCATAGAAGAGCATGGAAACTCTACTTTGTGAACTGGCATTATGGGGATTTTTGTGGCCTGCTTGGAGAAGGTCAGTCCAGCCAGCAGAGGAGAAGGTAAATAGATGGTCCCCTAAGGCACTTATTTTCCAACTTCATTACCTCTTTTCCCTTCAACCCACAAACATCACTCCCCCCTCCTCTTCCAAAGTGTTATTTTTTTTCTCTCTTTCATTCTTGGTCTCAAACTGCATAAAAATAACTCTAGTCCATCCAGAGTCTAGGAACTTATCAGATTGTATTTACCCAGAAGGAATTTCTCTGCCAACACTGTATGTCCCATATTTATTCCATCCCTTTCTCCTCCATGCCATTCTGTTATCTTAAGGTCCAGAGAGCTTTGTAACATTTGTTGCTATTATTTTAATAGCTAAAATTTATTGATTGCTTGCTATATGTTCTGGACTATGTGTTTTGTATATATTATCTAATTTAATTTTGTCAAAAATTCTTCCAGGTTTTTAATTAACTCCATTTCATAGGCAAGGAAACTGAAGCACAGAGAGATGAAGTACCTTTTCTAAAGCCTCACAGCTAGTAATCGGAGGAGCCTGGCTTCCAACTCAGGCAGTCTGACTCCAGAGCCCACTTGTCAATGACTGTTGAAGAGCCGGTGCATATTTTGAGACTGTGTGAAGAGGAGCCAAATTCAAAAAAGCCTCAGGGTAAGTGAGATCAGATGACATTAGCTAGGCCCCTGAGCTATCCAGTTCCCCTTTCCCCCTCTCAGCATTCAAGCCCTCCTAACAGAAATAACAAGAGCTTTATAAAAAGAAATGGAACCCAGTTATAGCCCAAGAGTAGCCAGTGACCTGCCTGAGCAGAGATTACAAAGTGGATCACCCCACAGGGAAAAATGGATTTAAAGTTTAAGAAAGTTCAAGAGAAAAAAGCCCCAGCATTTTTCAATGTTTTAAAAATATTAAAATCCATTCCCATTCCTTCCAGAGAGTTTTTTGGCTGAGAACAAACCTTATTCAGTGAAGACTTGAAGGAGGCTGTGTTTTTGAGCAATCGTGCTTAACAGACCTGAGATGTTAAATGGCAAGGTTACAGCCAGTTAGCTCAGATGGTAGGTGTACTGTAGACATGGTGCCAAGGGTACAGGTTTGATTCCTCAGAGGGCCAGTATGCATCTCTCCACTCTTTGGCCCTTGATAGCACCTCCCCTCTGTACAGCCAGCCACTCTTTTTACAAAAAGAACTAAAAAATCAGTACTCTTAGCTTTGTATACAAAAAACTGTATATTCATTTTTTTCCATATAAATTACTAATCATCATATTATGGAGAAATTGTAACATGTAGATACATAAGAGTATATGTATGTTATGAAAATCAAAGATTCAAAAGATTCTAGCTACTTTTTCTTCTCTTTTTCATTTATACTTTTATGATTGGCACAATATATATACACAATATATATTAGACACTTAATTTTTAAAATATTTTTTATATTGATTTCAGAGAGTAAGAGAGGAGAGAGAGAAAAAAACATCAATGATGAGAGAGTCACTGATCGGCTGCCTCCTGCACGCCCCCAACTGGGGATTGAGCCCAAAACCTGGGCATGTGATCTCCTGATTCATGGGTAGATGCTCAACCACTGAGCCAAGCCAGCTGAGTTTAGACACTTTAAAATGAATCTTATAAAATGTTTCATTAAATATTTATTAAGCACTTAAACACACCAAAAGTTCTGTCATTTATTCTTTCCCCTTTACCTTGACATTTCATGCATAAAAATAAGTATCATGCAAACTTCTATTAAGACAAGTTTGCTGTCTACATTACTGGTCCTGGGTGGGAATAGTGAAATAAAGTTACACAGCAATCTCCTTGAAAAGATATTTTCACACATTTGTGATTGCAAACACTCCAGGTCCAATATCTACCAGGATATCTATGAAGAACTAGGGCAGCTTATCTCAAAGAGACTCATGAAGTCTTTGTTGAGGGAGGAACCTCATTTGGGAACCACTGGGCTAAAGGACCATCTTAAGGATTTATTCCTTCTTTATGGAGACATCTTTGCAACTGTAGGATTTCTGCCACAGCCCCAACACTCTTGCCACCACTCCTTTGGATTTTTTTTTAAAGCGCCACTTCTGGGGGCAAAGCAACAAGCCACCTGATGTTTCTTAGGCTAAAGGTCATGAAATATGTCTTCTGACCATAGTCTGCAAAGCTTCTGTCACTTGTTATGGAATGCTCTTAAGCTCGGCATGATTTGAGCTATGCTTGTTTCTAAAATGGGGCCTGGGAAATTTGATCTTAGCTGAGCATAGGTCTTGTTGCTGTTGAAAACTGGAATGCTATTCTATAAAAAGACAATTGTTTTGTAAAGATAACTAAAACAGGGGAATTAAACCAAAAGTCAGATACATTTCTAACTTTGGTAATGGGGATTCCTTTTTTTCTCAGTGTTTTCCTTTGGAGGCCATTCCATCCTAGTCCTGCAATTCCCAACCTAACAACTTCAGGTTAGTCACCTTCCCTTATCCAGCACAAATGCAAACAGGAAAACATTTATCTTGATGCTAATGAATCTTATGCTTCAAGAC